ACCAGTGCTGTTCAATATATTTATAAATAATCTGGAAAAAGGGTAAAAAGTGGGGTGGGAAAATTTTCAGATGATACAAAATTTATTCAGTATAAGTCCAAAGCTGACTGCAAAGTGTTACAAAGGGGTTTCACAAAACTAGGTGATAGAGCAACACAGTGGCAGATGAAATTCACTGCTGATAAATGCAGAGTAATGCATATGGTAAAATATAACCCCAAATATACATACAAAATGATGGGGTCTAAATTAGCTGAACCCATCAATAAAGAGATCATGGAACCATTGTGAATAGTTGTCTGAAAATATCTGCTCCATGTCTAATGGTAATCAAAAAAACCTGACAGAATATTGGGGCTCATTAAGAAAGGGATAGATAATAATACAGAAAATATCATATTGCCTCTGTATAAATCCATAGTATGCCCACATATTGAATACTTTGTGCAGATTTGGTCAGCCAATATAAAAAATTATATTGGATTTGGAAAAAGTACAGAGAAGAGTAACAGAAATTATTAGCAAAATGCAGGACAATGTAGCACTTTAAAGACTAACAAGATGGTTTATTAGATGATGAGCTTTCGTGGGCCAGACCCACTTCCTCAGATCAAATAGTGGAAGAAAATAGTCACAACCATATATACCAAAAGATACAATTTAAAAAAATGAACACATATGAAAAGGACAAATCACATTTCAGAACAGGAGGGGGATGCGGGAGGGTGAGGGGGGGAAGGAAGGAAGGAAGGAAGCAGACACTATTAACACTTGCTGAGATGGCCGAACACTTCATTATCGGCTATAAAGAAAATACTGGACTTATGACAAAGTCAGCCTTGGGTTTGACATGTACACAGAGTAATCAATTACAATTATCAGAAAGAAGGGGCATTATTGTTGAACCTGCCTGGTACAAAAATCATTGACTCCATCAGAATCTTCAATGTCACAATGAAGTAACAGCCATCTCATACTTGCACAAAGCATGAGTTAACCAAATACCATTCAGGAAAGATGCTTTAACATGCAAAAAATTTCTCAAAATAATTTTGTTTCATGGTGCAGTTAAACTGCTGTCTCACACTGTTGAATGGATTTCTTCATCGCTCTCAGGAGGAGAGTGACACTAAAATTATCTTGCCTGCCATCAGTGCCACAGCAAGAAGTGCTACTCTGCATTTTGGCACAAGACGTGTATGTTTTTGTGTTTTCTGTGAGATGCTACCCAATACTTCCTTGGGATTCTGGTTTTGTGCCTGTTTCAGAGGAACAGAATTGCTGTCAGAGTTGTGTTCCTGTTACTCAGGCTATTAAAAGCCATCACATGGCCCTGGTATCCATGCTCTTTCAGGGTGTGACACTGCTGGAACATTGACTGGAAAAAACAAATTATCTTACTGGAAGGAATTGGATTCAGCCTCCAAAAACTGATTCCTCACTGAAGATATTTCGAATGGTTGATACAATCACTGATGAAATCGTAAGTGTAATGGAGGGATTCGTATGCCAACTTTATTACTTGAAGATCTGTATTACAACACTTACTGATCTACGTTGGTAGATGTTTTCCAATAAGCAAACTGAGAATAAGTGCCATAAACACAAGCATTATCTTTATAACTGCTATCAAAAGGACAGATTATGAAACAGTGGGATGTTGGAATGCATCCAGAACTACCTTCCTCTACAGAGGTGGATGGGTCGTGGAGGATGGATTGATCACAGCAATTGTGTGCAATACTGGGCACTCCCAAATCAGTCCTTCAACTAATTACATACTTCTGCAAAAAGCAGATGCTCGCCACCCGCCAAATATTTGGCCAGGCACCCACCTTTATAGAAACGTTTGACTGTAGTGTAGACAAGGATCATTGTCTGTCTGGGGTGCGTTACACAAACCTAACATTGAAGATGAATTTGATAAATGAACATTTTCAGTCCTGGATTACTAATGATCCAGTGTGGTTCTCATGCATACAATGTAGCCCTGTATTAAAGTTTAATTTTAAAAAACCCTTTTCTTGCGTATATGTCTACATAATAGTTCTAGGCTTGTCATGTTGTTACCGTTATGCTCATTGAAGAAAGAGCTTTTGAATGATACCCAGCTCAACCCATTTCTGACAACATTGTATTATAAACACTGCATCCCCCTCCTGTTCTGCAATGTGATTTGTCCTTTTCATATTTGTTCATTTTTTTTAATTGTATCCTTTGGTATATATGGTTGTGACTATTTTCTTCCACTATTTGATCTGAGGAAGTGGGTCTGGCCCACGAAAGCTCATCATCTAATAAACCATATTGTTAGTCTTTAAAGTGCTACATTGTCCTGCCATTTGCTTCAGCTACCCCAGACTAACACGGCTACATTTCTATCACTATTCTAGAAATTATTAGGAGCATGAACACATTCCAAATGAGGAGAAATTAAAAAGATTGGGACCTTTCAGTTGGAAAAGAGATGATTAAGGGGGAAGATATTATAGAGTTTTATAAAATCATGACTGGTGTGGAAAAACTGAATAAGGAAGTGTTATTTACTCTTTCAAATTACACAAGAAGCAGGACTCGCTCCATGAAATTAATAGGCAGCAGATTTAAAACAAACAAAAGTAAGTATTTTTTCATAGTCAACTGTGGAACTCTTTGCCAGAGGATGTTGTAAAAGCCAAGATATAATAGGGTTCAAAAATAACTAAATAAATTCATGAAAAATAGAATCTTCAATGGCTATTAGCCAGGGTAGGCAAGTATCCAACACTATGTTCCGTGAATCCTTCACCTCTGTTTGCCAGAAGCAGGGAATGGGAGACAGGATGAATCACTCAACAATTGCCTGTTGTGTTCATTCGCTCCTGAAACACCTGGCATTGGCTGCTGTTGGAAGACTGGATACAGGGCTGGATGGGGTTTTGGTCTGACCCAGTAAGGCCACTCTGATATTCTTACATAGAACCCTGATGTATCTGCCCCTTGCTGTAACCCACTTGACCCCGCTTCCCTCCCAGAGGAACCTGCTGTGGAGCCCTTTGGAGTTTCAGACTCATGCCATTTTGTCCCAGGATGTGAAACTTGTGAAAAGATCATTTTGTTGCAAAAACGGGACTGATACAATACAGAAAAAAATAGCGTGACACTCAGTGCTTAATTTGTAATGAAAGAGGCACCAGGGCACAAGCAATTAGGTTCTGGGTTCAAACAATTTAGTTACTTACATAACTGACATGGCAAACCCAACCGTACTGGGGCTAGGAACTGCCAAGCCTCCCTGGCAAGCATGCAAATCAAGTCCTGCTCATATTCTACCTTGTGTTGCTGGAAGAAGAGGGGATATTTGAAGGCTTGGAGGACTCTGGGATATAGTTTGAATAAAAATTGCTGAATATTTTCAGTGAGAATAAAATATACCCTGTGAAGGACTTACATCAAGACAATTGGATTCCGTTGCTTCGGGAGGTGAGGGAGGAGGCAGGGGACAAGAAAGGGTGAGTCCATTGAAAGTTGTATAACTAAGCTGAAGAGCTTAGAGTAAATTTGTGAACATGAAGAACTCACCCAGCACTGATAAGGACAGATATCAAATCACAGAGCACTGAAGTGTGGATCACATACAGCATTCCATCAGCTAGGAAACAAAAATCTCACTTTCAAGATTACAGGAGATGGCCAGAGCTGTAGAGAAAGCAGAGTTCAAGCTGGATCTCATGGTGCCTTTTCCTATCTCCCACTGGAGAGGGGCACACAAAACATGCTGCTGCGTTCCAACTGGCTGCTTTTTCTCTTGGCCACATCATCTTGTCTGTTGCCGCACTAGGCATATGTGCCTCACTTATGCGGTGTTATACACCCGTCTTGATGCATAAGAACAGCACAGCAGCTCTGCTGTCCCCTGCTCTCTTGTCTCTCTCTCTCCACCCCCCAATTTATTTTGCTTTGCTGTTCCCAGCTCCAGTTGCAGCTTACACCATTGTGCATGTATCACACATCTGATGGGACAATTGGGCCCTGAGTGTTTGATGCGCACTTTTGTTACATACTGGTTGCTATCTTTAGTACAAGGCTGAGTTGTCCCATATAAATTTGATTATACACTGTTACAAAACACTCCATGAAACTTAGTCTAAAGTGATTTTGAAACACTTCCAGCATTGCAGAGGAGTATAAATAGTTAGCTACAATTGGAAAATCTAAGCTATAGACAATGGGAGATGGTAACCTCTTGTGCATAGGATTTAAAATTACAGGATCATTGACCTTAAATGATTTATGTAGCCTGGGAAATCTAGAGTTAAGCAGCTTGCAAAACCATGAAAGCCAGCCACAAGTCTGAAGAACAGAAGCCTTCTTCTGATTTTTCTGCTGATATTCAGTGTTGTTTCAATCAAAGTACAGGTACCACTTAAAGAATGACAGATCATGTGAGTTTTATACCCCTGTACACTGAGTTTATACTTCATGACCCTGATACATTTGACTTTTACATTATAAATTATATGAGGAAACTCATGTGAACAATTGTCAAATGATAAATGAGAAGATTTTAAAAGGTGCTATTTTGCTGTTGATTGCACAGCTCTGGGAAAGGAGTATCAAAAGGAAGAAAATTAGAAATGAAACAATCATAATATACCCATACCAACATTTACAAAAATGTAATGAAAAGCATGAAAAACTATTTTCTTCTTACTAGACTTATTCTTATAATATTGCATTTTTTTTAAAAAAAAATACAATTTTAGAAAAAATGAACGATAGCTTTTTGCAGTGATAGGCGACAGGTCAGAAAAGCATTTCAGAATAATTTTACACCTTTTAACCTTAAAAAATACTTTGCTGACAATTGAGAAAGGGCCTTAAAAGAAGCGCTGATAGGCATTCTCACAGCAGGGTTGCCATGTCCCATCACATAGCAGAGGGTTTCTGCATAATGTATCCTGTAATAAGAAGTGTACTGCAAATCACAAGGCTTGAGTAGCAGTTTTAAGAAAGTAATCCTTGGCATGAACCGCTATTAGTGATGACACTGAAAGTTTGTTACATAAAACTCTTTAGAAGACATAAAGAAGGTAAACTGTTTAAAATTTTGATTTGAGCCTTGATAGAACTACTTTGTTATAGAAATGTGTCTGCATTTAAATATAGATTTAGTACACTCTATTTTTCATTTTTGCCTTGTGCTTGGACAGTCTTGTTAAGTGAAAACTGCAGAGTTGAGTTAAATTAATGTCACTTTTTCCTCATTCCTTTACTGAAAAAAGTAATTGCTAGAAAAGTGTCTTTACAATTACCAGTGCTAATTATCAATGCTAATACAATTGCTGATTACCAAGAGTTTCCCCTATTGCAAGCCCTGTACAAATGGGGTGAAAATTCAAAAACATTTCAGTATAACAAAGAGGAACCCGGTCCATCAAGGAACAGCAAAGTCATATTCATGCTTTAATAACCACACTAATCAAAATGGGATCTGAATCTAGGAAAATCTTCCCTGTTGAAATTAATTTTATTTTTGTCTGGAAATGTAAATAAAAGAAAATGTGAAGAGGCCATTTCAAGGCAAGTTCTTTTCAATGCTAATGATGCAAATCATTAAAGTTTCTCAGTCCCTGGGGATTCTTTTTGTCTTTCTCATTTCCATAACAATGATTTTTTTAGGTGATTAAAATAAAAATATAATGGAAATAAAAATTTCTTTATACTTGTCTTACAATACAGTTTAATAGATATCTGGAAAACAGAACTGGAATTGATTCTGAAACAACAAGAAAAGACCCTCAAGACTGAAAGCAAAATGTATTTTTTTTCTTTTAAATTTCTTGGGGAGACATTTTTCGTTGTCTTTAACAGCTTGAGGTAAGTTGCTAATATTCTGAAAGCTCCATATTTCAGTGTCATACCTCAATGTATCAATTTCTGAGAGTGGAACATAAAATATTTCAGTGTTAGGTTTTTAAGTAAACAATATAAGACATGAGTGTGCATGCAATGGTTAACATTTTAGCTTTTCAGTCTTTTGGTGGTTAGGTCAGTTTCAGAACTGGATTTTCTTGAATGTGGAAGACTCTGGATAGATATTAAAGTGTTTGCAGAGAAGAGCTGGCAATTATGAATAAATTTTAAAAAAACTCTAGTGATTAGTGCATAGGACTAGACTGTGGCTAAAGAGCAGGCCAAAGACCATACTGTGATTTAGAGGGACACAGGATGATTCTTGGTATTGCCTGCTCTCCTGAGGGATAAGGACTGGGGGAGGGTGAAAGCAGTGTTGTATCTGAAATCGATCACTTTCCCCTTGCTTCCCCCAAGCTCAGGTACTCTGGCAGCAAGTATGGGCAAAAGGATTAAAGCAGCCACCCTCTCTCCCGCTCCTGACCCACCTGTGTGTGTAGGGTGTTTGGGTGGGGGAGAGCAGTAGTCCCATGGAGGCTGCTCTAACACGCGCATGTCTTCTTCTTATACTGCAATGTAAGACTTGAGTAGACCAAGTGGTGAGCACCAGGGGTCCCCCTTACATGCCTATAATGTGCGATGTGGGGAAGGGTGGCAATATGGGGAAGGGAGGGAGAAACGCAGATGATTCTATAGCCCCTCCATCCAAAGAGTTGAGGGCACTGCACAAACTCTGAGGAATGAATTCATAGGGTTGCCAGGTGTCTGGTTTTCACCCGGACAGTCTGGAAGTAGCGTCTTCTGTCTGGTAGAAAATACCAGACATATGAAAATGTCCGGTATTTTCTGTTTCTCTTGGATGGAAGGAGGGCGGGGCCATTTTTCCCCTGCCGCATCTGGCAGGGGAGTGGGGAGCACAAGAATTTAAAGGCTCAGTATCCCCCCTTTTTTTCTCAACAAGTTTGCCCCCCCCCTTTTTTTTTGCTCAACCAATTTTTTCCCCCGCCATGTTCAGGATTTTTTGTGATGGTATCGGGCAAGCCTATGAATTCACGCTGCTTCTGCGAAAATGGCTTTCTTTTCCAGTCACTGCCTGAGTAAGTAGACTCTGTTTTCCATGTATTTCTGTGTAGTGGTTAACACTGCAAACTCAGGCTTGAGCACTCAGTGTTAAGCAGCGTACCTTCTGGCTCAGGCCTCAGCGCTAGTCAGGGCCAGACGGAGGCATGGGCGAGCTGGGCAGCTGCCCAGGGCGCAAACCGGTGGGGGGGCGCCTGATGGCAGCTGTAAGGGGTGTGGTGGAGTCCCTTACAGTTGCTATCAGGCGCCGCGCACCTGGCTTCCGCAGCGCAGGCCCCGTGGAGCCGGCCAGCAGCGCCTTTCCCCCCACAGCCAAGAGGCCCTGCATGGCCTGGTGCGTGCGCCAGCAGCGCTGACCAGACCAGGCTGGGCAGCGCATGCGCCATGCTCTCCAGGGGCGGGCCTTCTCACCCTGAGGGGCTTGGGCCCACGCCCCACGGGTGGGCCTGTGCATGCACTGTGCGCCCAGGGTTGGCGCCACGTGCCCGGGCCCAGGGCGCCAAAAGGGCTCAGGCCGGCTTTGGCACTAGTAGCGGTCTCCCACGACAGAGGAACTCTGCTTGGACAGCTCTCCTCCAGCAGATGAAAAGGGAGAATATCATGATGGCATCAGTTTACCAGGAGAGCTGTGCTACTGAAGTTATAACAGGGCCGGATTAAGGCATGGGCTAACCGGGCAGCTGCCCGGGGCGGCAACCTATAGGGGGCACCTGATGGCAGCTGTAAGGCACCATCAGGCACCGCACGCCCGGCTCCCAGATCGCGGGCTGCAGCAGCTCCCAGCGGCCACCCTGCAGTGGCTGCCCGGGATGAGGGCTATATTAACACCCACAGCGCTGGCCAGTAGCGCCCTTCCCCCTGCGGCCGCAGGGCCAGCGCCCTTCCCTCTGCGGCCGTGGGGCCCTTTACGGCCTGGCTCGGCCCGCCCCGGGTGGCCCCAGGCTGCATGCCAGCAGTGGTAGCTGAACCAGGCTGGGCATGTACGTCCTGCTGCCGCCAGCTCAGTGCGCCCTCCCCAAGTGCCAGGCACGGGCTGCGCACGCGCCCTCTCCTATGCACTGGCATGGGGATGGGGCTGTGCGTGCGCCCTTCCCCACGCGCCGGTGCAGGGACGGGGACACGCATGCGCCCTCCCCCAACCTGGGGCGCAATTAACCTGTCTGCCTGGGAAGCCCGAATGTAAAAGAACAGGGCCTTTCAGGAGCAAGGCGAGAGAGTTTGGGAAGGAAGAGGGGCCAGGCTCACACATGAAGGGTCCTGCCTGTAAATTCCCCACAAGAGGATGGTGGCCTGGGCCAAAAGAAAAATGTTGACACATGAGGATCCAACTCATTCTGCCCTAACTGTATAGGTTATGAATTGCTGTAGTGCATTTCAAACAAACAAACAAACAAACAAACCCACAAAATTTTGTAGTCACTCAACAAGTACACACAGAGAAATTATCTGTTAATTTAGAAGGCAGTATTTTTATATACTAACCTCTTTTCCCATAGTCACTCTGGGTATGTTTACACTTCCACCCTAGTTCGAACTACGGTGGTAGTGTAGACATACCCTTAAAGACTCACATCTTTAAGCTAGATGATTATTCCTGTTTTACAGATTAATTTCCAACTTCTGTTTCTCTTCTGTAGTCACTTGCAAATTAGGTAACATGCAGATTAGTTCATACCAGTACAAGGATATTCGTAACAGCACAAGCCGACTGAAGTGTGTCACGAACCTCCTGAAGAAGAGCTCTGTGCCACTTGAAACTTGTATCCTTCCCCATCAGAAGCTGGTCCTGTAAAAAAATATTATTCCATCCATCTTGCCTCATGAAACTCCAGTCTTACATAAATAGTGCATCCACAAGTAGTGTTCCCACAAATATACACTTAATGGACCTGATGCCCTATTGTGCTGCTCCATTTCTATCAGTGTAACCCCATGGATTTCAGTAGATATAAATTAGTGTAAAAGTGGAATAATTCAACAGTGAATCAAGCACAATATTTTAAAAGATATAAAAAGGACTCGTCACTGTACACTAACCTGGCTGGTTCGTGTTTAGCTAATTTAGACATCTGCAATTCATATCCTCAAAATAACCATCTCTCCACCTACTTCCTGCAGAAAGTGGTTAAAGAAATGTTAAATTACCAAGAATTATTTGTATAATCTACCCCATAGTGAAGCACCCTAAATAAAACTTGTTAAATAAATGAACAACTGCAATTCATGCAATAATCTGGATTTTTAATTGAATTGTTTATTCTCTAACTTGCAAACCCCAGTAATTTAGAGTTGTCCTCCCTCTTATTAGTGTGTATTTTCAAAGTATCCAGCTTGGAGTTTGCACAATAAAGCCATAAAATTCCCCATTGATTATATTGTCTTTGGTTACTATAAACACAAATGAGCTAATTCTGTTCTAGTGAGGGCATTGCTGCATGTGAATATTTCACTTCACTTGGATTTCGTTGCTGTTTACTGCAGCCTGCTGCCTACAGCTCTTCTTTTTCTGATACAGATATCTATCAGAACTGAGTGTTAGAAGGGGCCCACTATTGCCAGGACCAAGCATTCAAAAATCATGAGTCATGCTTCTCTAAAAATGACACTGGCCCAAAAATCATAATGTCACTGCAAGCTGGTGCAAAAACTCACCAGCTGGAGATGAGAAAATAAAGCTCCAGCTAAGGAGACTCACAGCCCTTTCTTCAGGGCTTGATTTATTTCTAAAACTGCAAACTGGAAACCAGAACAAATCAATTAAAACTTCTGGGTGGTAGCCACCTGAGGCCTCTCCAGCTTCAGCCAGCTGGGATGGGAAAGGACATCCCCCGTTCCCTGTGGTAGCCTCCTTTTCTCCAGCTTCCTCTTTCATTTTATAACCTTGGCCAGATCAACCATGTGATAAGACTGGAACCTTGTAACTGCTTCTATGCCAGAGTGTTTTCATCCATTGTCACAATTATTTCTGACCATCCCTAACATAGGGCAGCAATAGATGGATAGTAGGTAATATTTTCTTTCAGAGGTCCCCAGATGACATTTGCCAAGATTAGGAGAAAGGAGAAAAAGAGCATTTGGAAGTCTGGCAGGCACTCCTGCCCAAGAACAGTGTTGGGCAGGGAGGAATGAAACCAAGTGGGATTCAAATGAAAACTCGGGAGTGTCCCTTTTGATCCTGGTTCTTATATATTCCTCACATGTTATGTTGCTAAATGACACCTAGCAATGTGAATCCTGCAGTCTTCCCTTTCCATTTAATCCACTTTCTCTTCAGTCCACTTTCCTCTTTGTCTTCAGAGTGAGTAGTATGATTTGTAGTATAAAAAGGGCCAGATCTGGGTAGAGGCCAACTCTGGGAAAATGTACAGCAGACTTGTATAAATGAGTAACAGTGGGTTGAAACCTGTCAGTGTTTAGATTATCACCAGATAGTTTCAGAAATCTATTCCAATCCATAGTATTGGCATAGCTCACTCCCTGCCTTTGAGGAACCGATCAGCTTCTCCGCAGGACTCTGTGTTGTGGCTACAGCCATTTGTCTGCTGAAAAATGGTAGCTGCTTTTGGAAGGTATTTGTGTTGCAATGTTCCTGTGGAAATTACTCCAGACATGTTGCAACTTATGGTATGGGGGGCAGAGCCTGAGCGAGCATTAAAAGGAGTAAACATTAAGGTCCCTGAAGCTACATCTACACTGCATGATTATTTCGGAATAAGCTATTCCAGAAGAAATACTCCAGAACAGCTTATTTCAAAATAGCAAGTCTACACTACAAGGACCCTGGAAGTTAGTCTGAGGTGGGCTCCCCTAATGTGGATGTGCTAACTTGATGTAGAGCCCCAGGAAGCACTGGGGAGCAATTACTTTAATGGCCTGGGGGAGGAGATATTTTGAAATAGCAGCAATGGAGCATCCGCACTACTGCTATTCTGAAATAGCTATTTCGGAAGAGGTGTTATTCCTCATGGAATGAGGTTTACAAACGCCAAAATAAGCCACCTGTTATTTCAAAATTATTTCAAAATTATTTCAAAATAACAGGCTAGCTGTGTAGATGCTTGCATTGTTATTCCAAAATAATGCTGCTGTGTAAACGTACCCCCAATGGAGCCACTGCTCAGGTGAAGTTATCTTTGCTAGCATCTAGAAGTACACTGGAGTGCACATAGCATGAGGCTTCTACCCCCTTCCCTCACCTAATCTCAAGATGATTCTTACCAACAAATACAGGACATACCACACTAACCCCAACCCTGGAACCTTCCCTTGTAACAAACCCCATTGCCAGATTTGTCCACATATTCACTCTGCTGATACCATTATTGGACCTAACCAATTGAATTATAAGATCAAGAACACATATTCCTGCTCATCCAGAAATATAATCTATGCTATCATGTGCCGAAAGTGTCCGTCTGCTATGTACATTGGACAAACGTCTCAGACACTTCACCAAAGAATCAATGCTCACAAAACAGATATTAGACAGGATCACAAAGAAAAAACAGTTTCTTGCCATTTCAACCAAAAAGGACATTGTCTCAACGACTTAATTACCTGCATCCTGCTTCAAAGACATTTTAACACCAGAGAATCCTTGAAAGAGAATCCTCTGAACTGTCATTCATGCTTAAATTTGACACTTTACACCTAGGTCTAAACAAAGACATTAATTACCTTACCCATTACAAAGATAGCTTCCCCAATTATCACCTCTAATATCATTAGCTCTCAGACATTTACCTCCCCCCCACCACTCCCATTCTGTTCTGAAATGTGATTTGTCCTTTTCATATGTGTTCGGGTTTTTTGATTGCATCCATATGGTCATGCCAATTTTCTTCCACTTTTTGATCTGAGGAAGTGGGTCTGGCCCACGAAAGCTCATCACCTAATAAACCATCTTGTTAGTCTTTAAAGTGCCACATAGTCCTGTTTTTTGTTTCAGCTACACCAGACTAACATGGCTACATTTCTATCACTTCCCTCCCTAGTGAACCTTAAAGTGATCATCAGGTCCCCAAAGGGTATGATTATGCTACATTATAAACATGAGTCTGTGGGACATGAACTCGTGAACATGGTGTTTCTAGGCTTGCACTTGTGTGTCTATACTGCACTGTAAATCTGGATTTATGTTTGCTGTACCCGGGTGTCTCAGCCATGCTGGCACACCCATACTGCACTATGCGGACCGTCTGACTGGTCTGCAACTTGAACTGCATCCATGCTACAAAATGACAGGACTTGGGTCAGAGTCACAAAGGGACTTAGGCTCTGATCCACCCCTCCCCCACACACACTGCAGGGTCCTATGAGTGCTTGCTGACCTGAGTAAAATGGATTGTGTGGACAGAAGGAAGATTGGAGCTTGAACACGAGTCAGAACCCAAGATTAGAGTTCAGCGTAGATATACTCAAAGTGCCCCAATGCTGGCATTATTAGGCTCCTTGGAGTGTCCCCCCACCTTAGTAGGCTCCTGAACTCTACACTGAAGAGTTTTTTTGGAAAAACGGTTATTTTTCCAAAAAAACTTAACTTGTGTCCACATTGCAATCGCATTCTTCCAAAAGAAAATCGAAACAACATAGGGTTTTTTCTGACCTTGGTAAACCTTTATGAGGAAGAAGCTTTTTTCCGAAAGAGCTCTTTTGGAAAAAGGTGTGTATGGAGGGGGAAGAGGGAGTTCTTTTGAAAGAAGAGGAAAGCGGAAAAAGCACAGGTGCTCCGGTGGCCACTTCATCCATAGTAATCACAGCTTACATGTGAGATAGAGTCCTTTCAGTGTGGATGCTATCTGTCGAAAAAGCAGATCACTTTTTCGATGAGCTTTTGCAGTGTGGATGCTCTTTCAGAAGACATTTTTTTGAAAGATCTCATCCGGAAAAGCTTCTTCTGAGAGAAGCCTGCAGTTTAGACATAGCCTGAGTGAAATCTGTCTCCCTGCACCTCAGGTGCCCTACAGTGACTAACTGGAATACCCACACAGCTGGAGGAGGCTCTCCCCCAGAATAAACCAAAATCAAAGCACCCACTATCCAATGAAATAAAACAGTCTCTCAGACTGACAAGCTGTGATCAGCAAATAGTTGATTTCTTTGGTTCAGAGGACAAGCAAAAAATAAACAAAATTGTGTTAGGTTAATTTAAAAAAATATTTTTTTTTTGTCAAAATGAAAAAAAATCAACCTCCACGCACCCTCCTCTCCAGATATTTTTTGGGGCAAATGAAATGCTTCAATTAACCCCAAATGATTTTTCCCTTGTGTTGAGGGGTGGGGTTTTTTTTTCATTATTGTGTTTTCAAGTGTTTTTTTGCCATTTCATTTCTTTAAGCAACTCTGGCTAAATTTGGAAACAAAACATTGTCTCAGAACAAAAAAATCAAAACGGTTTGTTTTGAAAATGTCCAAACCAATTGATTTGAGGTGTATTTCTTTCTTTCTTTATGCCAAAATGATTTGCCTTGAAACTGCTTTTTTCCCCCTTTGAATTAACAATTTGACCAAAAAAAATTCAGCTAGCTTTACATAAGAACATAAGAACGGCCGTACCGGGTCAAACCAACAGTCCACCCAGCCCAGTATCCTATCTTCCGACAGTGGCCAATACCAGATGCTCTCGAGGGAGGGAACACAACAGATAATCCTCATGTGATCCCTCCCCTGTCACTTACCTCCAGAGAAACAGATGCTAGGGACACCTTTCCTACACATGCTGGTTAATAGCCATTGATTAACCTAACCTCCATGAATCTATCTAGCTCTTTTTTGAACCCCGTTAAAGTCCTAGCCTTCACCACATCCTTTGGCAAGGAGTTCCAGAGGTTGACTGTGTGCTTAGTGAAGAAAAACTTATTTTAGTTTGTTTTAAACCTCCTACCTATTAATTTCATTTGGTGACCTCCTAGTTCTTATATTGTGGGAATATGTAAATAGCTTTTCCTTATTCACTTTACTTACACACAGGCCTGCCAACTGGGTGGAAGGTAAGTAGAGAAGGGCAAAGGGGAAGTAGCAGCCCCAGGCCCTTTAAATCACTATTAGAGGGCCATGCTGCATGCTCCAGGCAGCTCTGAGGGTATGTGTGCAGCATGCCAGGTGACACAGAGGGCTGACTGCCCTGGCCCTGCCCCTTCTAGGAGTGCAGAACTGGTCCTCCTCATCTTGCTCAGGGGCCCATGTAGGCTGTCAGCCCTTCTGCTTACACACCTAGTAAGTTTCATGGAGGAGGGTTCTTATGAGCCTCAGGACCTCAACTAGCTGAAGGCTTACTGAGAGACAGAAATGGTGCCCTCCTGAACCTTGTAATACTGAGAGGAAGTAGGTTGATTAGATATCCCAATTTTATAGGGACAGCCCTGATATTC